TTCAAAAATGTTATCTCTGCAGACCCACATCTGGTCACATGCTCTTTTTTCTGTGCATGGAAAAAGCATGTAAGCTGTAAGTACATGGGGAGAAAATCAGTAATATTATCCAGTATGTGTCTCTTGGTGTCTTTGTGCTCTGCTTGCAGATAATTGCACTTTGATGGTACACCTTGCTCCTGTTCTGAAGCATCTTGGCCAGAGCAAAAGAAAACAAACAAAAAAAAAGGTACCTGGAAACGACTCCTCCTAACAGCACATTACCTACTGAGGTGAATAAACAGAACTGGCAAGGTGCTGTATGAGAGCCATATTGAGAACCTTGCTGCAAAAGCACCAGCAGGGAAGGATGCTGGGTTTTTGAGGGATTAGTGAAATTCTAACACTTTTTTCTTCTTCTTTTTTGGTAGAGGGAATCCACAACAATGAGTACACCTCAGTCGAGCTTGAGTATGTCATTTACTCTGCACCTCTCCACTTTGTGTTTCTCTGTGTGCATGAGAGGACCAGTCGAGCCAAGCCTTCTGCATGAAAGAGAGAGCGTTTAGCTTTTGAGACTATTTGTGCTTCTGACTCTGTGGTGTTTGTGTCCAATGGGAGGCGCCTGCGCCAGCTTCCTTAAAGGAGCGAGGAGGGGTGGTGGTGGTGGTGGGGATAGAGGGGTGGGGGTTTGTTTGTTTCTCTGCCATGCCAGGAGAAGTGACAGCCATTCCGGCTCTTTTACTCAAACACATTCATCTGTGTGAGAAAGAAAAAGGCGGCCGCTGAACCTCAGATGAAAGGCCATGGGAGCTGCGCTGCACAGGAAGGCAGACTGTACATGGACTTCAGTGCAAACACAACATGAGCAGCGTCACTGAGACCAACAGATGGAGACAGACAGACAGACAGACAGACAGACAGACAGACAGACAGACAGACAGACAGAAAGGAAGAAAGAAAGAAAGAAAGAAAGAAAGAAAGAAAGAAAGAAAGAAAGAAAGAAAGAAAGAAAGAAAGAAAGAAAGAAAGAAAGAAAGAAAGAAAGAAAGAAAGAAAGAAAGAAAGTTTTGAAACATTTTAATAATTTTCTCCTAAGTTTAAAAATACCATCAAAGGACAAAGAAAAGTAAAATCTATTCAGAATCTCCATGTTTTGTTGGGACATGCACAACTTAGGGGCAATTTTAAGAAAATCAACATTTTACCTTCAAGAAATGTGGAGTTGGTTCTGGCCAGAGTAGTAATATGTCCTCACCAATCTTTACATGACTCATTCAGGTGAGCTTGCACAGGTTAAAAAACTCTATTCAAACTGATCTATTTTATTATGTTTTTCTCATGTCAATACAAAAAAAAAATCAATCATGCTTTTAGAAAGTAATCACATTTTTCATCTTCTATTTGCATTAAAGACAATCCTGTCCAGGAACTTGGTTCTACAAATAAATTACTGATCAAAGACCCCACAATCACAATGTAGAATAACATAACAATAGTTAAAAAACATATATTCATTAAATTCACAATACTTAAATAAGAATAATTTCAAATCAGACCGAATGAAATAATTAATGAGTCCCATGCCTAAAATATTTTGCCCTCTATTCTTTGCCTAATATCTGTTATTTTAATAGAACATTAGGTGACAGCTGCTTCATATAAATGTATCCCCCTCCACACGTATTCGTTTCACTCAAATTCAATTAAAGGATATGGCGTTTGTTTTAAAGTTTTCTTTGAAAACATGTACACCTACGATTTTCCCTGCAATGCCTCCTTTGTTTCTTGCTGGGAGAGACGAGGGAGGGATTTAGGAAGTTTCGCATTGTGAAAATTAATTTGGCTGAGGAGACATGAATTGATAAAGGCCGCCTCCGCAGGTAAAAACGTCTGCATGGCTGAAGTCCATGAGAAAGACCGTCGGTTTGGAGGGATTTTGGGGAAAACAGAGCAACAGAGCGGAAAAGAGGATAAAATCTGGAGTTTTAGCGAGGAAAATAGGTATCAGTTTGGATGCCTCTTTTTATATTTTTTTTGTTTTGTTGTTTTTAAAGAAAAATATTATAAGCACACACTTAAAAGAGCAGTGTAATATGTGCCTCTTTATTTTATTTTATATTAAATCTTTCAATTTTTTTTAGCAATGGTACTTTCACAGTGGCCTAACCTTTCATTTTATTTTCACAACATAAAAAAGTTTATTTAAAAGAGCCTCAGTCACCTCTCCCACCTTTGAAGTGCCAACAGAAACGCTGAAAAGGTCATTGGCTCACGAACCATCCAATCAGGAAAAAAGGTAAACCCGACATGCTTTTGACAGCAGACTTCATATTAAAACGACACATCATGGCCTAAAGTCTGTAATATCATCCGTTTGACCTTGTGGCATAAAACCTAACGAATGTACAAAGAAACAAATGGATTCTTATGAAAGGTTAGGCCTGTTCCCTTTAAGGTTTATTTTATTTTGATTTTTTACAGCCAAACAAACGTTAAAATCAATCTAAATTCTAAAAATAAAAATAAATTATCTTACTGTAATACGCGCCCAAATAATAATAAAAGTCAGTTATTATATATATATATATATATATATATATATATATATATATATATATATATATATATATATATATATATATATATATATATATATATATATATATATATATATATATATATATGTCTAATTTCTTCTGCCATATATATATATATATATATATATATATATATATGGCAGAACAAATTAGCATTTGACAGCGTTCCGACAAATTAAAATGCTGCCCTTGTCAGGATGATCAGGACTGTGTCCCCATATTATTAGGGTCTATGACAGCCCCACGTCTCCTTCTTCCTCTCCACCACCCACATTAGGCAGGCGTAACACTCATCCCCTCTGACGCATGATAGGTGCGCACGCGGTGACATATGTGGCAGTGATTAAATTGCATTTCATCGTTCTTTCCTGCTGGTTTCACTGAACACATCTGTCATATTTTGACACGAAACATACAAATCACAAACAGTTAGGGTTGTCTCTCTTCTTTTTTTCTTCTTCTTTTTTTGTCTTTCCATCCGAGCGCACTTGGTTTAAAAGTATTGTCGCATCTAGGTGACTATTTCGCTCCTATAACTTAAAGAGTCAAACATAAAGTAACTGAATTATTTAGGTGTGTTCACTCATACGTTGTCACTCAAAAGTTCGACTTGTAATATTTATGTTTTTATTTTATTTTTTGTGATATTATTTTTTTAATTGCATTTTAACACCTAAAACTCTAAAAATACTTTATATAATATCTAAACTAACTTTGAATTGAAGCTCAAATGGCACAGTTAGACCATTGTGGCAGATGTTTCTTCCCCATTTACAGTATTGCATCCTTACAGTACAGCAGCAGTGTACAAAGAGCAGTGAGAAGTATGAGGAAACAAAAAAAGGCGCTTCCTTTCTCATCGGATCAATATGAGCGCAGCATGAGCCGAACAGGAACCGACATCGACGCACTGTTGTGGAGCTGACCTTTCCCACTCTCCATGGGTCATACCTTCGCTCAGCCGAGGAGGTCAGCGCTCCAGCCACTAAAGGAGACCATTTCAGCAGCTGAATATTCAGCATATATCACCCATGCGCCTCTTTCAATTACAACATTTTCCATTTCATAAAGTAAAAAGAAAAAAATGTTAACCAGGAATAAAATGTGTGTTTTTTTTCCTCTTATTTTAAAATGGTAAATACCATGCATGCATGTATGTGGCTTGGCATTTTAACTGGCTTTTAACAGATTTTCGTTGGGATCAGAGTTTCCTCCCCGGAGATCCATAGCAGCCCGTATTATTTACTGTACATGCGCTCTGTGAGCCAAGTAATGTGAGCAGCTTGTACAACAAGAGACAGCGTCGCCTGCAGTCAAGCATCTCCGTGAGGCAGTGCCACTTGCTGCTGCTGCAGAGAACCTGCCCGCAACAGATAACAAGTCCCCCACGTCTGCATGCGTAACAAGAATGCAAAGCACTCATTCCTATAAAAGCATGCGCAAATTATCGAACACAAACAGCCTCAAAGCGACATCCATTCTCCTTCTATTTATATAGTCTTAATTTTGGTCTATTTTGAATACTTTCTAAAGAGCCATTTGTTCGAATAAAGGGGGAAAAATAATGTTCCTCTGCAATTATGTTGAATCAAAGCATGCAAACCTCAAAAGAACATATGAAAAAAATATATGGTTTACAGAAAACACGGTCAGCCATCAGGGTTATTTCAGTTCAATTACTTGAGTCATGACTTTAGCAGATGCAATTTCAGGAACCTCACAAACATCCAATTTTTATACAACTGTAGGGGATCTAATTCAATCAGAAGAAAGTCCTGGTTTATTCAACACCAATCCTATCCAGCCATTTAGAGGGAAACAAAGATATTGCATTATTCATCCTGCTTATAAAACACTACAATCAAAGGCAAATGATTGTAATGCAAACATAAAGAATGGTGAAAATAGAAGGACGAGGCTACCTGAGGCCACAAGACTTAGCCTAGTCAAGTTCATGGCTGTTTCAACTCAAGGCTCCAGTGTACTCTGATGTAGAAATGATTTATTCATAAGGAGCTGGGATTTTGAACAAACTCACCAACTGAAAAAAAAAAAAAAACTGGAGTAGAAATTTTTCTCGTTTAGACATGCATAGCATGCAAAAACGTTTTCAGAGTGTGCAAAATAATTAAAAAAAATCTGTTCTGTATGATTTTATTTTAATTATAAAAACAAAATCCAGCATTTAAGTATTATTTTTTTTATTATAGCTTTGAAATAACAAGCCTCCCCAAAAGCATGCACAGTTCATAGAGTTTGTCAGTGTGCATGCTCTGCAAAGCTGCATGTTTGAGTAGAAACCTAAAACTTTCTGAACATTTTTGAGAGGCCCTAATTCATTCAAAAGAAGCTGCCAAACAGCATTTAACATCAAACCCCAGCAGCATTCCAGAAAAAAAAGATGACAAAAGAATTATTAAGCACTTGCAACACCTTTTTATTATATTTGTAAGCAGTAAAATTCTTATCACAATTAAAGGAAGGAAACACCTCTTAAAACTTTAAACAAAAAATTAGCACAGAACGAAACAACTGCCTGTGTTTTTAGCTCATCATTGTACATATTTATAGGCAAAGAAACATTCTTTTTATAAATACTGTTTCATCTGTAGCAAGTAAATACCATAATTTAATTACAAATGGATAAATATGGCAGCTGATATTTACAAAATAGGAAAAGGTGTGTGGGGTACAGACCAGAAAACAAAATAAAAATAAAACAAACCAAAAATTAATTGAAAAAACGGCACAACGTTTATTTGACCTCACAATCTTTCCAGATAGGTTTTTCTTCACAATTCAAACTTGCAAAGCACAAAAAACATCACAAGTTAAGCCCCAGCAAACTAAAATATACATTCACGATCATGATTATTGTGGTTTGTTGGAGTTAGAAGGTTAACTTTGGCACTCTCTCCAGTTTATAGATGTTTTAGTATAGTACAATCAGTTTGCCTCAGGATCACAATAGTCAACATTATAGTACAGTTTTAATGGTAATATGTGCACTAAGATTCCAGTTAGAGAAACAGCTACCTGAAGGAACGTCTATACACCAAAAGACTTGACAAAACTACCACAACCAAATGAGAAGGTGGATTTTATTTTTTTTAAGTTCCTATTTACAGTATGAAACACACCCCTCAGGTTTATCATACACATTTTTCCTCCGCTGGTTATTATCACCCTGTCTGGTGAATATTAAAATAAAAAATAAATGTTTTTGTGTCCAAATAAGAAAACTCCTGTGGAAATGCCCAGTGCTGGGAAGTGATGTGTGTGTGGCTTTATTTTTTTGAGCTCAGTCCTACACATACCATTCACTGAAATTGGAGGACAGGCCACTGTGGCTGGTGGTGTTGTGCACAGCTGAGGCTGGGGACAGGGTTGTGTTGCTTTGGGTCTCGGTGGTGGGGGACACCAGGCCCGGGGGAGTGGACGATTCATAGCCAGAACTTGCAGCTGGTGATGAATCTGATGCAGATGGAGTGGATTCGTGAACCTGGCGGATGAAAGAAGAAGAAGAAATCAAACATTAGAAGTTAATAAAAAATAAAAGCATGAGATGATTTGCAAAGAGATGCAAAAACTCTGAGTAATAGACATATATATTGTATAAGATGTTTACCTTCATGTGTTTTCGTAGAGAGCTGGGGTGTGTGTAGGACTTGTCACACATTTTGCACAAATATGGCTTGTCTGACGTGTGGACGTGCATGTGTTTCTTTCGGTCGCTGCTGTTTGCAAATCTTCTGTCACAACCCTCAAACTCGCACTGGAAAGGTTTTTCTCCTGCAGAAAGAAAACAACAAACAGATGCATATGTGTCAAATGTTTTGAATGAAATCGCCTCGGGCATTGCAATTTTGTGAGCAGAAAAAAACAAGACTTGTGCATAAAATGCAAACGTTAGAATCTTTTTTATTTTTTATTTTAAGTTGAGGGGGTTGATTTTAAAAGCAGTTTGGATAATGGAGGGAAAAATAAGGGGGGGATGGAAAAGGAAGACTTATTTTGCCTAAATAATGCGCATAGTAATTTAGGAAAAGGGTGGGAAGGCCGTCCCTCGATGGGCCTTACACTAGGGGCATACCATTTGGTGCGAAGACAATAAAAATCTAATTAGCACACGATCAATTTCACGTAACCCCCCAAAAATGCGTCCAAATGCTAAAGAAGTGGCTGATAATGGCCCTGTCTAGCACCCCGGCTCCTATCAGAAGGGGCGCAAACAAAAGGCTTTTCCCTTCTACTGCAACCAGCAACTATAGATGCAGAAGTCGAGTTCCTAATATTTAATTAATAAAGCCCTAAAAAAAAGGTCCCCTATGAGGAGAGGAGCGCACTGAAGGAGATAAGTGCTATTAAACCGCGTTGGTGAACGAGCTGATGAGATTTACTATACCAGCCCCGTCTGCTCACGCAAAGCGCTCCTACTGTTCCCACTGACCCATTTCTACCAATGCTGAATAAAAGTAAACAGTATCAGATATCAGGAGAATACTATATATATATATATATATATATTAGAGTCACAGTTGAGCTCCAAAAAAAAAGGAAACACATTTAAAGAGTTAATTATATAGATTTGACTCTAAATCTACTTTGTTACTTTGATTACTATCTATCTTAAGCATCCCAAAATACTTGCTCTTAATCAGATTCTGAGTGCTGTCAGTGAGACGCATTTAGATGACTTGGAAATAAAGGCTTAGACTAAATAAACAGTAAATAAAAATGCAGGATGTTTAAATTATTCTGCAGTTTATTCATAGATGTAGGATATTTGAACCTATCATCTCTACAGGGGTAAAATTTTGGGCCTACCTGTGTGTGTTCTTTTGTGGATCTTCAAGTTTTCCGAGCGAGCAAAAACTTTGCCACAGCCTGGGAAGGGGCAGGGGAAGGGTTTCTCCCCCGTGTGCACCCGAATGTGGTTCACCAGTTTGTATTTCGCCTTGAACGGCTTGCTCTCCCGGGCGCAGTCCTCCCAGAAGCAGATGTGGTTGGTCTGCTCCGGCCCGCCGACGTGTTCCACGGAGACGTGCGTAACCAGCTCGTGCATGGTGCTGAAAGTTTTGTTGCAGCACTTTTTGGGGTTGCTCAGCTGCTCCGGATCGATCCACTTGCAGATGAGCTCCTGCTTGATGCACTGCTGCCTCATGTAGCGGAAAAAGGCACCGGGGTGATGATGGTGGTGGGCTGCCATGTTCATGCCCATGTTCATATTCATGGAGCCGTACTGGTTGTGGAGCTGCGCGGCGGAGTACGGGTCGGTCCTCGGGCTGGAGACCTGGTGGTACTGCTCGGAGCGCCCGAAAACTTCACCCGGCAGTCCGAGCCTCATCTGGCCGTTCAGGACATTCGGCGAACCGTGGGAGCCGTGCTGATCGTGGATCCCGGGGAATAGAATGTGGCTTTGAGTGTCTGTGTGGGTGTGATGAAGGGATCCTGCCGTGGGGCCAAAAATAGCGTGCTGGCCGCTCGCCGGAGAGGATTCTCCGAAGCCGCGGCTGCGGAAGAGAAAGTCCCTGGTAGAGTTGAAGGGGGAGCTCGCGTACGACGTGACATGAGCGGCGTGGGCCCCCAGAGCCGCAGCGGGGTAGCCCGGTGCCTGCGTGGTGAACGCAGAGCTCTGTCCCGGAGAGAGATCGTGGTTGAGCTTGAACGCACCCATGTGTGCGGAGTCTACAAAGCTGTTCTGCGCCAAACTCAAGTCTCTGTCCTGCATGTCGCTCGCTGAGTGATGCCTGGCAAACGAACCCACTCCCAGTCCCGGGAACTGGTGGCCAGCATCCAGTAACATTGTTATTTTGCGTTTAAAAACCAGAACAGAATTCTTTTAAAAATTACAAAAGAAAAAAAAAGATCAAATGTTGACACGCAACAATACGACTTCCAGCTTTAGAAACACCATATCAGGCGTAAATCGAATGCGCTTCTCCGCTCATAGCTAAAAGATACAAACCTAACTAACAATAAAATAATTCAATAATTACTTGGAATCGAAAAATCCAAACGGAAGTGAAAGATTTCCTTGTGTCCTCTTCTCCTGACTACGACCCTTTGATGTTTTACTGAAAATAAAAGTAAAAAAAATACAGTTAGGATTAAAACAGTTATCTTACTAGGCGTCTTCTGCGCGCGCACAAAGAGAGCGGTTGGAGCATCTCAATAATAATAATAAATAAAATTAGAAAAATCACCGCGGTCCAGTTTGGGCACGGATTTATTTCTCTGACTCGGAGTGAGCGCTTTATCGGCGGAGAGTCCCTGTTTCTCCGTGGACTGGCTCTCCCTCCTCTTCTGCCCCCTTTAACTGGAGCCCGTTCGCTCCTTTCGCGCAGTCTGATTGGCTGCAGCGCCTCATCAATCCCAGGTGCCCCTCCAATGGCAGGTAGCGCTCTGGCGACTTAATAGCTCAACGCCATTTTTCCAAGCAAACGATTACCGCCTACTTTTTAGGGGAGAAGATTTTCTCGCTTTTTTTTTTTTCCTCTTTCTTTGAACAGGCTTAGCGGATCACGACAAGATAGAGGGGACCGATTTTTTTTCCCCTTGTTGTTGATATTTTCTGGGTGTTATGCTCTGATCATGGCAGTGAATGAAAAACCATTTATTAGGCAAGAAAATTGTGATTTATTTATCTCAACTTACGTAAATGTGGCAATGTGTGTTTAGACGTGTATTTTGAAAGTTAAAAAAGTCAGATAGATAGATAGATAGATAGATAGATAGATAGATAGATAGATAGATAGATAGATAGATAGATAGATAGATAGATAGATAGATAGATAGATAGATAGATAGATAGATAGATAGATAGATAGATAGATAGATAGATAGATAGATAGATTTCATTAGCATTTGTTTTCACAATCCAACAAAAATAAATACAAAATTGTAAAAGTAAAGGGAAATATACATTTCGAACCCATAAATAAAACCATAAGCATTAAAAATTTGCTTCTGTGTCCAATTAAATTGAACCAGATTTGAACATTTTTGCTTAAATTCAAGAAAGATTATCCAACAAAACATACCCATAGTAGTGGCAGTATCATTCTGTGGGAATAAGGAATCAGATTGCAAAATGGACAGCTGTAAAAGTATTCAAACCCCTCAGACTATTCAAGTAAAGCCTATTTCTGTTTAAATGACACCAAATGAGAAGTTTGACCTGTAATACATCAATCCTTTGGTAAAACATGGCGGTGGAATTACAGTGTTGTGAAGATAAGGCACTATGTTCAGCAAATAAATAAAAACATACATAATAATAGTGATTACAAAACAAATAGCTCCACTGGTTTCCCAGCAACCACAACAGGCCCAGATGTGGTTCTCCAGTTTCCACTGTACTAACCACCAGTGCCATTTGCTGGTGCTTTAATGGTCCTGTTCAACGCTGCTTCTGCTCCCTCTGCGGTTCTCACAGTCACCACACTAAATTAAGTTTCATGTTCTGGTGGCGAACAGTGAAAGGATCAAAGTCAAGTCGATTATCTGTAAATCTAAACATGTTTTAACTGAAAAAATATATATAAACATCTTATTTATATATATATTTTTCTGTTCCACTAAATACATTTAACCAAAAAGCACAGTTTTTCTGGCACCTTTCAACTCACTCTGAGCTGAAACGGTTAACTCACAAGCCATACATCACAGCTGCTCAATTGCTCCCCAAGCCAAAAAGGAAGTTTACTTACATTTTCACCACATAAAATCCCGCGCAGGCTCTGTTGTCCCATGCGCCACAGAGGAGTCCTCCACTCTACCAACTGTCGGCGACAAATAACGGGGAAAGATTGGGGAAAGGCTTTTTGAAAAACTTTTTTTTCTTTAAAATTGTGTGCTTCAACTTATGGAGAGGGGGGGGGAGACTGGGCCGCTGAGTGTGCGCCATTCTCCCAAGTCTATTTCAACCCGCACCACAGGAAACGCAGGAGCTGATCCAAGTTCAAAGTCACGTCTGCCGACCCCTATAAGAAGTTCTTTATTATTTTTTTTCTGGGAAAACCACGGAGAATTCCCAAGATAGAAAGAAAAGTAGAAAGAAAATTAAGAAAAGAGGAAAAAGAAAAAAAATCAATCGTTGAAGGGAAAAAAAATAAAAGAAGGGGGGGTCTGGCCTATTGGAAAATCCCCAGCATTTCAACAGGTTTTTAGAAGCACTTTATTAAACGTTGAGACCCGGCTTGTAGTTGTAACGCATAAATCACTGGAAATATGAGTCAGAATGTTAAGTGAGAGCTCAGAGAAGAGCGCTGACAGCGCGAGCGTTGCACGCGGGAAGCGCCAAAGCAATAAAACGTCCAATCTTGATCACATAAGGAGCGCTGCGCTCCGCTCCGGCTGCGTTATTATAAGCACCGGTTCTCCTCTCTGTTACAGCGACAGTATCAATATGTTGACACGCTGGAAGGTTGGTTGTGCGGCTTCAGCGACCTTGTGTTTCATGGATGTTTGACCTCTGACCCGTTAAGACCACATATGCCGCCCCTTGACTCCTTTTGGGAAAATAACCCATTTTATGACAAAGCGTCTTTGTTTTAGAGGGAGAGAGATGGTCTCCCCCCCCCAAAAAAAACCCCGCACACATCCCTCTTCTTTTCTTTTTTTTTTTCAGTCGGAGGCATCGCCAGCTGTAATAGAGGAACTACAAGTCAGTAAAATTCAACCCAGAGTGTAAACTTTTATGCTTTTATTTCTATTAAAAAGAACAAACGATTCGGTTTAAGTGATTTTACCCCAGCAAACATCTGTAAAGCCAAACTTAAGTGCGTAAATTGTTGACCATATAAGTGAAAAAGAACCCAAATCTAATTTTTAAGTGTTTCTTGATGACTTCTACATTTATGGGGGTTTGAGAAACAAAGATTACAGAACAATCAGTATATTTTATGGGCTTTCCGAAGCAAATCTGCATCATATATTCATATATTTCTTTTTACATCGCTGATATAATAGCTCCCATTGAAGGTGGAGGTGGTGGTGGTGTGTGTGTGTGTGTGTGTGTGTGTGTGTGTGTGTGTGTGTGTGTGTGTGTGTATGTGTGTGTGTGTGTGTGTGTGTGTGTTTGTGTTGGGGGGGGGATTAAATATTAAATAAACACAAAGATAAAATATTTTATCCTTTACACTATTGTAAAACTTTTACCTAAGTTTCTTTAAATACATTTTCATTTTTATATTTTACCCCCTCATGTCCAAGTGACATGCTTTTAATATGTGAAATATTATGATAGTAATTTATGAATTTAAACTAATCTGTTTACCTGGGGGCCATTAGCTATATGGCTCCTTCTTGGGCCCCAGGGACCTACCAGTTACAACGGACGCTCAACAGTTTTATAGCACATTATTACAGTTCAGAAAGAAGGCGAAATAACACTTCTGTAGTCTGTATGTTGGCTCTAAGAAGGGACTAAAACTTTCAAAGTGCAAAATTTTCTTAAAAAACAAGAAGAAAATGATTTTTCTACAGACTATTACAAAAGGTGCCAACGATTAAACTGAATAGAAATTTATTTCAAAATGATGGAAATTGAAATATAGATGTGTGAAGGCACTTTGTGAAAAAGGGAATTATACTTAAACAGATAGAGTTTTGGAATTGTTGTACGCCTTGCCTTATAAAGGTCAGATTAAATAAGCATTAAATCACACTTCACTGAGTAGACACTGAGACACTCAGGAAATGAATCACATCCGGTCAGAATGTACAAGATACGAGTAAAACAAGAAAAAGCTGCAGATTTAAAAAATACTAAAAACAAGGATGGGAAAGTTTTTTGTTGTTTTGCTTTTTTTTTTTACCATTAGACAGTTTCTTAAAATTTTCAGATTTTAATAAATTCTATATATAACCCTTTTTGTTTTATATAACATTAATTTATTGATTTATTATTATAATGTTCTTACATATGTTGTTCATACATTTCTCAAATGTGAGATCAATATGATTATATATCCAATCATTATTTTATTATTGTTAGAAAAAAAAAAAAAAAAAAAAAATATATATATATATATATATATATATATATATATATATATATATATATATATATATATATATATATATATATATATATATATATATATATATATATATATATATATATATATATATAATTTTTTATTTTATTTTATTTTTTTCTCTTATGTGCGTTCTGGACAACTTCTATGTTTTTTCCTTTTTTTATTTCATTTTTGTCTTCTTTGGAAGACTTCCTTACCAAAAAATAACCAAATATGAAATAAATAAACAATATATTCCTGCTGCGCTTTCCTCTCCCGTTCACTCTTAAATCCCATTTGTCAGATTTTACACATTTCATATAAAGACAAACATCTGGCTAATCTAGTAATTTATTTCTTTTGTCATTTGTTTGTTTTTAAATGCATTTACATGGCAAATTAATCGAGAGACATTTGGAAACACGAGCCCTAGGGGTGAATTGGAATGCACTTGTCGCGTAAACTGATATTTCGGTCATCCACAAGCACAGCCACCAGTAAACACACACACGCGCGCGCGCACACATTGGGGAAGAGAGAGGGGAAAAGATGCGCACAAACCAGATCCGCTCGGTAACTTTGTGAGTACAACTTTTTGGAGTCAACAGCGATAAAGAGAGTGAGGGGGCGGAACCCTGCTGAGCCCCTGCGCTGAAAGACAGCCAATCGCTTCGTTCTTCTAACTGCCAGTCACCGAAATCCGTCCAATACCCGCAGTGCCATTTCTAAACTGTATTCCCCACTGTGTCCTCCAACTGTTGTATGTTCTGCCAATCGCTTGAGGACAGAGTTGGGAAAGGAGCAAGCAGAGTTAGAAGCCGGACAAAAGAACTTATAGAGCCCTTATGTACATATTTTCCTCATGTTTTAGAGCGCAAAAACAGCTGCGGTGAGCGCCGATGGACTTGTGTGTCTAAGTTATGGAACCCCCTTTAAGCAAGAGGAACCCGGCGATAAGATTAGCGGATTTGGCAGCAACTCAGCCCCTTCCTCATCAGAATATGACAGGCTTCCCGGGGCTAGGGGGGCATCACCCTCTCTCCCACCATGCCCACCTCCACCCTGGGGAGCTGGGCAACGACCCCGGAGTGGCACTCACTCCATTTGGACCCGAGCACATGGCACAGACAAATGCTCTCAAACTTAGCCCGTCTCAGCACATTCAGAGCCATCCCGAAGCCCAGACCGCGGCATCTTTCACTCCTGCTCAGACCACAGTGGGTTTCCCCGTGGCTCACCCCCACTCAGGCTACTCAAGCAGCAGGGACTTCATCCTCAGGAGAGAACTCTCAGCCTCTGCTATGCATGCACTTGGCGACCAGCATAGTTCCGCCTCCTCCCCTCATCACCATGGCATGTTCATCTCGCCAACAGGTGCTTACGGGCACACGGAAAGTGGGGCCCATTCACTTTTTACTGGACTCCACGAGCAGGCGTCCCCGGGCGCCCACCATCACCATGCCCTCAACGGCCAGATGCGCCTGGGTCTACCGGGGGACATCTACGGCAGGCCGGAGCACTTCGGGCACAGGCCGGAGCACTATGGAGCGTCCACCCTGCACAGCTACAACTCCATGAACCTTAACGTGAACATCGCCGCAGCCGCCGCTCCTCACGGAGCCGCGGGGGCGTTTCTGAGATACATGCGGCAGCCCATCAAGCAGGAGCTCATCTGCAAATGGATCGACCAGGAGCAGAGCCAGAAGAAGCCCTGCTCGAAGACTTACAGCACCATGCACGAACTGGTCAACCACGTCACGGTGGAGCACGTCGGCGGACCCGAGCAGAGCACCCACGTTTGCTTCTGGGAGGAATGTCCGCGGGAAGGGAAAGCTTTCAAGGCGAAGTACAAACTGATCAACCACATCCGAGTTCACACCGGAGAGAAGCCCTTCCCGTGTCCGTTCCCAGGATGTGGGAAAGTGTTCGCCAGGTCAGAAAACCTCAAGATCCACAAGAGAACGCACACAGGTCTGTGAAGCATTCTTACCTTCGTCTTAAATTTAGACAGAAAAACACGTCTTTGAGTATTTTTTTTCCCTATTTACTCAAATCCTAAACACATGGGATGTGCGATCGTGCGTAATTGCGCACAGATGGAAATGAAACTTTAGGTGTAAACAGTATTTGTAAGGGAGTAAACATTTAACATTTTCCTTCGTGAATATAAAACTTTTTTTCCTCACTCAGGCGCTCGGAGTAGGCGTGAAAGGATTAGCGCATATGATTTGTAAAACGTGCTTACGTACGTACTACTGCACGCGTAAATGTAATTGTCTTTGGGCGCTTTACGCAAAAGCAGTATAGATGGACCTGGATCGAAATGCATGTAAATCTACACTTAAATGATCTCATAATATCATCCCCGAATGAGAACAGGGAAGTCTATCTATCTATCTATCTATCTATCTATCTATCTATCTATCTATCTATCTATCTATCTATCTATCTATCTATCTATCTATCTATCTATCTATCTATCTATCTATCTATCTATCTATCTATCTATCTATCTATCTATCTATCTATCTATCTATCTATCTATCTATCTATCTATCGATCTATCAGGAAACTAATTTAGAGCTGTATTCTCATTTTACTAAATTCTTCTATCAATGTCCTAGGTTTTTTTAAATACAATTATTTTGTTGATGTTGATGATGCATACCATCAAGTTGACAAATTAGTTTAAGTTAGGCTATTTCATCAAGGTTAGGTTCTAACAAGTAATCTTCAATTTCTTTCCCACTGATAAAGCATAAGTTATACTCTTTTTTTTAAATTGCGTTCTAAGTGACCTTATTTGTTGTGTTTTCTGTACAATTATTTGTTCAGATTGCATTTCAAATATTGTGAATGTATTCATTTAGTTATCTATAATAGGTTAACTTTTTTCCTCTCCTTGTCGTTTGAATGTTGCTTTTATGACAGTTGTTGTTACTGTTAACATTTTAAATATTTATATTAGAAATGATGAGGGGAAAAACGTGAAGGTGAAGTCCATCTTTACAAAGGCTTGTAATGAAAACAAAAAGCTTGTGCCTGGGGTAAAGGAAGTAAATGCTGTGCAGCATTACACAAGCGTCTCCTGGTGGTCTCCTGAGTGCCCCCCCTCTTGTAACCACAAGCAAACATGGAAAAGCAGAAGGCCTAGAGGCAATGTGTTCAATGTGTTGGGATAAGTGGATGAGAAGCAGTTTATCTTAAAGATTTCATATTAGTGAGTTGGATTAATCAGGCCGAATTCAGATCAACTGTGTGTTTGTCGTTTGTCCAAAGGAGAGAAGCCCTTCAAGTGCGAGTTTGACGGATGTGACAGGAAGTTCGCCAACAGCAGCGACCGAAAGAAGCACTCCCACGTCCACACCAGCGACAAGCCCTACTACTGCAAAGTGAGGGGCTGCGACAAGTCCTACACGCATCCCAGCTCCCTGCGCAAACACATGAAGGTGCACTGCAAGTCTCCGCCCCCGCCCCCCTCCACTAACGTCGCCTACATCTCCTCCTCGAACCCCCTGGTGGCAGACCACCATCTCTCGCCGGGATCCGATGCGCACCGGAACCGTTCGGCGACCCTCTCCCCGCAGGTCACTAACTTGAACGAGTGGTACGTCTGCCAGGGGAGCGGGGGGCCCAACCACCTGCACACGCCGTCCAGCGACGTCCCCACGTCAGATTCGGAGGAGGAGGATTCTTTCAGAGGCTCAGACCCGAGGACGATGCTCTGATTGATTGTTTACAGCCTGACTCTCATTTACCAGCTCATCATCCAGCTGACCTATTTATAAGTGGTGGGTTCCAGACGCGCAAATACAGACAAAATCTGCAGAACAGAATTGACTGTGGGTGAAATGCAGACTTACCTTAAAGAGGACGAGATTTGACTGAGGTGACCCCTTCACACACACACACACACACACACACACACACACACACACACACACACACACACACACACACACATATATATATATATATATATATATATATATATAAACCACATAAAATCATAGGAATTTGGCTGATTTGACTTTATAATATAGAATGTACTCACACATTTAAAATAAATTTTAATTTAGACTAAAAATAACAATATGCCATGACATCTAACGCCAGAATATGGAAAGGTACTGTCTGCACCCTCACAAATGACAACAAACAGTGGCTAAAGAGAATAGTAGAAAAGGAAAGTGACAAAAGACATTGGTTTTGGCAAAAGTGATCAATCTAGTGTCTGAATAGTTCTTTTTTTTTCCAGATTTATAAAAATACACATTGGATGAATCTTTTGTAATATTTAAGAACTATTTAAGACTTTATTTTATTCAAAAACAAAGAAAAAAGGAGAAAAAAAAACCCCACACAGTGTAACACTCGTTTAAGGAGTCCATTTTTTTTTTTTTTTAATGTCCCACGAGACCCTAAAAGTTTTGACTCTGTAAGGATTTGTAAATATCTAACTGTACTGATGCTTGTGAATGTTGTGTAGTCCCAATGAAGGAGGGGGTTGTTTTGTACATTGTAATTTATTTGCTGGTGTCCGTGTTGTAAACTGGGATTACAGAAACACCAAAGAATAATATTCATAATAATATTATATCAGTCTCGGTCATGCTAAGAGCCCTACTGATGTTTGAATTTCTTTTTTCAAATTTACGTTGTACTTTTTTTTCAAATCTGTGCTCTGTAAAATATGGAACCATCTACCTGGATAGGCCGTGAAATGTGAAAAAGTCCCTCCTCTCGCATGCCTTTTGTAGTGATGTGTCTTTCATATTGAAGTGCATGATGCCAGTGGATGGTATGGATTAAGAAAAAAAAAAGAGAGAGATATAAATCTGTTATGACTGTGCAGACCCTTGATGTTTCAGATTTAATTTACAACACAAAAATCTTGGTATATTTAATAAAAACAGTTAGGATGAACACTGTAAGCAAGTGTGGAATGATTGCAATCCAGTGATTATGATGTTTTTTTTCAGGTTTATTAGGAGTTTTAATGAGGTTGTACCACCCCCCACTCCACCTATTTAATAACCTTTTAAACTTTAATTAAGAGCCCATAAACCATCAGTCTGGACAAAAATTGGAAAGCTGAAGTAGCTGTCTATTCTCTTCAACAAATTCCCAGAAACAGGCCCAACAGGCCAAGGAGGGCTGATATAAACTAATCACTGAGCTAATGGGAAAACTTATAGCCCCCTAATGGTGCTAGCTCCTGAAAAGGCCGACACAAAGCGGCTCAGGCATGAATCATTCATGGGAAAAATAAAAGATAAAAAGATATCTGACAATACGCAAAGTCTTGTATAGAGTGTATGCAGAAGTGGGGAGGTGGGTGGTTGGGGGGGTAAAAATAAGTTCCCCTCTTATTTCCCCCATTAAAACGCAGAATCTTCCTTTCAAAGAGTTGCCTGTTCAGCCTATAGAGTGAAAATTGACCAACGCTTCTTCAGCTTCACAGGGGGAAGGCTGCCCGCTTTGACAGTCATGCACGCCACGTTAGGATTTCTATGGCAATCGGGCAGTGAGACACTCTCATCTGAATATGTCCGGTTGCACTAACTGACACTAAATGGAGTCCCATCAAAGCATTGGATGGAAGGGGATGCCCCCCCATCCCCTCTTTCTTCTAAAGTGACTGTTATCCCCGGCAGGTAGATGACAGCAACACACAAGATGAAAACTGTACAGTTATAACAAGAAAAGAAATCCCTAAGGGGTCTTCGGTCTTGTGTAAAAGGTGGAACATAAAAATAGAAAAGGGGTTTAAAAAACATACTCTCTATCTGAATGAAGACACACCTATGGAGAATGAAATGAGGATTAAAAACTGCATCATATATTCATTTACAGCACCAGATAATCTTTCCCTATATATGCCAGCATCACAGTGAGCTTAGATATTTTACCTTAAGTTCCATAGCAGTTGTATTTCACAACTATTTTAATTGAATGCATGTGCATGGGAAGCGAAACGTCTTAAAAACTTGGGGGAAAAAAGTCCAGTGGATTTTTTTAATGTCTACATGATATTAGGATCAATATTTTTGTAAAATGAAAATAAAAAATCCAGATATTTTCAATTTGAAATGACTAACTTTTGCAAAAGTAGAAAAAATAAACAGAATTAAATGAGGAGATTTTGGTAGATTTGTAAAAACATTAAGTTCTACCTTTATTTTTTTATTCTGCCATAGCAACAAACAGGAGGATGGGACATTTTTTTCATGGGTCAAACTAACAATGACCTTTTGGCACAGGTATAACAGTTTGTACGGCCAGTCCGCACAATTAAAGGCAGATCCCAGTTATATTTGCAGGGAGAAGGACAGCAGTCAAAGCAGTTTCATTTTTAATTTAACTGTTTTTTCTCCCCCATTTATTTATTTTTGTGCTATTTTTATCTAAGCCAAGTGTTTTATCTACTGAGTCCAGACCTATGTATTTCTATTGATGGTCCAAAATTCCACAGTTTTGCAAAAAACCGAACTATGTTATCTAGAGGTTGCAAAAAATGATCACATCTGAGGGGTAAACTGGCACAAGCTAAAATGTTATATGGTTATGTCTAATGAATTATGCCAAGTGATTTTTATTACATCAAATAATAATATAAATGGAGACACTGAAGAGACAAACTGGAAAAAAAGAAGACTAAACATGAATCAGAATATCTAAATGAAACAAATATAAGTAAAATCACTTAAGTTTTGGTGCTTGGCTTTAAAACTTTTGTTATAGATATTAAATCATTCTTTTATCACACATAGCGCCATAGATTAAATAGGTTCAAGGTGTAAAAACACCTAAACAAAGCAATCTGGAGTGCCATTTTGTTTCATCCTGCTTCCATTTGTAGCACCAGCAGTTAATTTGTAGTCTATGTTTTTATCCGAAAAGAATCTTGGACTTATTGAATTTAACCCATTGCTGATAGATATTATTTAAAGACTTTCAATGGAATATACATTTTTAATCTGATAATCAATTATAAATACTGTTATAAATGGACATGTGGAAGGAAAAGAGCATTTCTCTTTCATACCGTATAAGTTTTAACAAATATAACCATAAAAGTAACGAATGGTGAGGGGGAGAAATGGCAACCACCTTTATTAATAATATCTATTCCAGATTTATAATAAATACATATTAACTAGGTTAAATTTTCTTAATAGAGTCAAATAGTATCAATCTATAACTATATTAATAATACATCTATTAAAAACAGTCACCTGTCTGCTCTTACCCTCCTAAAAGTTCAAATAAACAACTTTCAGCATTAGTGCAGACATAAAAAAAATAATCTTTAGTAAGTTTGTTTAAAAAACACAATAAAGGTCAGACTGTGCCTTTCTTCCTTACCTAATAGAACCAGACATAAATCTTGAAATTCTGATATAGTTTATGATTTCTGTGCCTAAATAATTCCTATTGGGCCTCCATTTGACTGCCCCTTACACGTTTCTCTGTTGACGCCCCTGTAAAATAGGTGATGGCCCCAAAAGGAGTGGGGCCCCTGTTTGGAAACAGACGCTGAAAAAATAAACACGATGGAAAATAAGCAGAGACACTCCACGGCCGCATTAAAAAGGAGGGGGACTTAATAAAAAGGAGTGAAGCAGTCACCCCTCAGCGAGAAACGCTTTGAAGTAGAACTTATTTTCTGAGGAATACTTTTTGGGTTGTCCTAACGACGCCGCTGAATGGGAAAGTCGCTCCTTTTGTCAGCGATTTGTTCTCCTTTAGTGGGATGTCCGTGGAAATCACTTACATGGGCCACCTTAACATATACTGCCTGCAAATCAGTAACTGGCAAGAGTCAGACATGCAGACGCCACTTTGGAGAGGACAAAGACTGGGGGAGGAGGAGGGGGTTAAATAAAAAAAAAAAAAAAAAAAAAAAGGGGGGGGGGGGTCCCAGTGAGAACGGTGCTTGCTTCTCAATTGCGCCCTTTAAAGGAGTTGAGCGATAATTTCTCAGACGAGCGTGGACCCAAAACAAACGCGGACTTGTCAGCGTTTACAAGCCTGATCCATCTCCTGAATGCTGCTGGCACAATGCGCGCACAGGCTGCATGTGAAGCGCCCACAAAAAAAGTTAAAGCATCCTTTGAGTCTGCAGATCAGAGAGCACCTGCAGCCATTTTTTTTATTCAAAAAAATGCTATATACAGGTATTTATTTATTTGTTCATAGGAATCCCCAATGATGTGTCTCCAGCTGAAGAGCAACACCTGGTGACAGCTTTGGCCACACTTTTCCAGTTTCCTATAGAGTGAAAACTAATAAAATCAAGTGGTAAACGGAAGCCAAGGCCTCTGGAAGAAGGGGAGGGGGGGTCCGAATTTAATCAATATTTACTCAACTTCAATTATCAGAATAAAGCTGATCTCTTCACGCCTTTCCGTTAGAGCTCCACACTGTAAATGAGGTTTATCCAACCATAAGGAGAAAATAAGAGGAATATAACACTATTTACAGTTTTAAAATTGTCCAGATCTTGCACAATGACTGGAGTTCTGTCTTTTTTTTATTATTTCCACTCCATATATTTGCCTTCCAGAGTTACATGTTATTTATACTGCTCCCACTTCTACCTGGGAGTGGTGTTGAATTTCATGAGGAAATCAGTTGTGCAACACACACACATCTAAAACCCTTTCAGTTCGGAGCAGATTTCTCTCCCTCTCTCTCTTTCTCTCCCTCAGACGCAGGTTTTTGGAGTGCGCTCTGCGCAAAGTCAGTCTGGAGGTTTTCCTTCCCCTGGTCTTGTAGCCTGTAGGAGACAGTTTGGTTTTCTACGTTATAAGTTGTGAGTTTGCATTTTTTTTTTTTAGACTTTTAAAAAGGTTTCTGATATAAACTTTTTTTTTGTTTTGTTTTTTGCGCCTTTCTTTTGTCGGATGTCTACAGGGGGAAAGTCGCGCCTCTGGAGCCCAGTTTCCGC